TGTTCTTATTTGGGAATAACCATTTTATGGTGGGAAGCAGAGTTTGTTGGAGTGTCTGAGCATTTTGCCCTTCAAGTTTGAAATTAAAAGTGAGTCAGGTTTGCATTTAATTGTGAAATAGACGACAGATGGACAAAATGATGTTTTTCGCAATGAAACGTTGAAATAAGGGTGAAAATACAAAAAAAGAAACGTAAGGACGTTTTCCGCAACAAGTGCCAAATGTAGAGACATTTTATGCTATTAACCCTAAAAATTATCATAGTTGACAAATTAAATGTCAAACAATTATTATTCACTTGTAATTTACCCGTTAACCTTATTGTTAGATAATTGTCATCCACTTGCACATACCCCTTAAATCTTACAACGTTTAGTCAAAAAACTAGTTGAATGCACGTGTTATGCACATGAGTTGCCCGTAAAAGAGCAGTTGATAACATAAATTTAACATAATATGTTTAAGAATATTTATTAATTTTCAAATATTAATGAATAAAAGGGGAGGGATAAGCACATTTTCAGGGTTGAGTATATTAATTTAAAAGGCCAAAAAAGAAAAAGAAAAAACACACAACCTAAAGAGGCAAGTATATCCATGAAATATATCTTTATAAATTCTATATGTTTGAATAAACTTATAATGTTTGCGTATGAAATTAATTATAATTATATTATTTGCTAATTACAATAAGACTTGAATATTTTAAAAATGCGGAAATCAAAAGAATGAACATACAGTCCAATCAATTGTAATCTACAATCTACTCATACATCCAATCTCACAATAGCGTTTAAATTTGCTTTTGAGCATGCTAGTAATGGACTACTAGCGAACAATAAGAATGACATACGCATCTTATATATTAGAACGATTGGGAGAGCACATTGTTTTTAAAGTATAATGTATAATTGTTTTTTTGGAGGTTTTTGCAAAGCCAAAATAACTTCTTGGATGGAAAAAGCCCATTTGATTAAAGTAAATTAAATAACGATTGTTTGGTTAAGGTCAAAACGTAATTATTAACCAAATATGGCGTTTGTGCACTGCTTAGATAAATTTAAATATCGAGCATATAAAAAAAAAAAAAAAAAAAAAAAAAGCATTTAACCGGAAGTTGAAATCTGTACTAATGCAACTTTTAAATTAACAAAATTATCCTAAGTAATTTACGAAAAACCAAATTAATCACAATTTATATCGATACAATATTACATTAATTTATATTACTTAAAGATTTTATTTTTAAATGTTTATGATATGTTTTATATTAGTTATTATTATTATTTATCATTTTAAGTAACTTTAAATAAATAAATAAATAAATAAATTTAATATAATATGATATGCATAAAATAATAATTTCGTGCTTATTTAATTAAAACATTAATTTCATTATATTTTATAAGATGTGAAATAAATATTGTTTATGGAGAATAGAAGATCTATAATAAATAGTTAAAATATCGTCAAATAAATTTGTAGCATATGTACAAATAATAAAACCAAAATATTTTGTTGTCAAACCATCAATTTAGCCCCTGTTTAGTAGCAATTTTTCATCAAAACAATCAATTTTTTTTACTGTTATTTCATTATTTCAACCATTATTTTTTATTTCTTCACTTATAGGTAGGATCTACTTTTCTCTCTAACGGTCAAGAAATCAATCATCATAATCATATCGAATAGTAATTTTCTTGCACTTTTGAATGACAACAGTCAATAATATTTTGATAATGGAACCTAATAATGCAAATGAGTGATATTTAAGTGTCGATCTAATAGATATATAACTAGCTAGACTAACGGTGATATATCTCATTGTAAAGTGTTCATCTCTAATTACAAATTGATGTATCTTTAAATCATTTTATTTTTATAACTACTTTACATGACATATATGTGCAATTTGTTGTTTGATATATAATACAATAAAAAATTACCGCATTAATGAATCAAATAATAAATGCCACATTTATGCTCAGGACAACTATTGATAATTTTCACTATTAATAACATTTTTCAATAAATTATCAACAAGCCTAGATATTGAGACAATTTTACGGACCGTCTATCTTGAATTGCATCCTATGCCGGATTTGAGGTGAGCAAGAGGTGATTGCCTCAGGCTCAAAATACTTTGTTTTTTCTTTTGATTTTTTTTTTCATTGAAAACACACAAAATAAAAATAAGAAAGTTTAGTTTGACGACGACAAAGGACTCATGCTGTAGTGATAAATATTTCAAAAGACATTGTTATATGCCAATCAAAGTTTACGTAAAAATTACATAATGTTCACATGACACTTTACCATTTAACAATTTAAAACACATTCAACTTTTTTCATCCAAGTAGCAAACTCCTATTTTAAGATGGTTTCATTATACATGGGTTTGAGTCCCGAGCCATCGGTAATCTTAACATTTGTTTGGTAGTTTAGAAGTTGATAAAATTTTTCAATTAAAGTCAATGGTTAATTTTAATACACATTTCATGATATTCATATCTTTTCAACTATTCATTTCATTAACCTTTATCAAATTACTAAAAATTAGGCCCCATTTGGTACACATTAATGTAAAAATGAGAATGAAAAATATAGTCGTTACGGGCCTCACACAAGAGATAGAAAGTCAAATATGGTGGTTTGGTGTGATGGATAACGGTCATATTTTTCATTTTAATGGGTAAATAATAGGAAACAAACATAGCTAATTTATAATTACACCAAATATTGGCTTCATTTATTTTTTTATCTTTTGGGAAATTTGCAAAATTAGTCATAATCTTTAATGCTTCTAGAAAATTCTTAACATTTAAATGGACTTCTCAATCTCCAACCTTTATGCATATAACATATTACATATTTCATCATTTTAGCATAATTCCGTGAATTTTAGTTTCCTCACACAAGATATACACGAGATTTTTTCCAAGGAGGGAAAATATTGTTTAACACTTAACCCAATTTTTTCAAAAATAATTTTCTGGTTCAATTTCATTATTTTTTTTCAAATATCTCTTTGTTATGGACTGATATTGTCGAAATTTAGTTAAATACACAACCGTTTTTCAAAGAAAAACGTGCAAAATGTTTGAAGAAGATGACTCTTTACTTCATGACAATTTGTTCATAACGTATGAAATTTTATTTTCGTTATTTTCACACACACACACATATGTGTGTGCGCGCGCGCGCATGAGTTACTATGATTTTCAGTTATCCTACCGCTTTTTGGAAAATCCTTGCGAAGAAAAAAAAACTTGAACAGTCACCACAACTTGACGGCCAACTTTTAGAGTTTGACTTGGTCTGAGAAATTCCACATTGCTTTCTTTAAGTCGAAATGATAATCTTTATGTTGAAAATTCAACACAACAGATATGCGTTATCCATCAAATTTCAAATGTACAGCATTAAAATGGATAAAAAATTTAGTTGTTCACCAAGTTGAGATATAAAATTTGTATTTAGCGAATCAACTTTCTAATGTAATTTTGTCACATTATATTAATTAAAAATGAACTAAAAGTTTCTTAACACTATCTAGAAAAATATCATTATCGTGATAACTACTCTTTTGTCGCAACCAAATTATACGTGTGTTTGTAAAAATTTTAACCGTGACAGGAAAACTGATCCAAAATATGTTTTACTTAATACTGAAATCCACTTATTATATAAATAACCGTACCTGGGCTCGAGGGACTATTACACTTTGCCACGAAGGCTCCATATGACCGACCCCCTGAAGCCCTTGCGATGAGGCTACGTAGATTATTGGAGTTTGCAACTTGAAGTGTCAAAGCTGTAATTACCGAGGCAGTTTCTTGTCAATGACAAAGCCCCGAAGTCTCCTTGCCAAAGTGACGAAGTTCAATAAAGATCAAAGTCGAAGCTCAAGTGATGACCCATACGTGAAGATCATGAATTTATGTATAATCCTTTTGCAGTGATTGGTGGATCATTTGTGACGAGTGGAATATCAAAATCTTGTCAGTTTAAGTTGTAGGGTGACTTCCATCTGTAGGAGCATTAAATGCACCACAAGCCGATAAGTTTGAATTAATGTCTAAGATTGGATGCTCCAGTTCAGGAGATGAAGCCACGTGTATATTCATCCATTGGATACCATTCCATGTGTTACACTATAAATACCCCTCTTTGTGTAATTGAAAAATAATGCAACTGCTACATTTTGTCTTCTCACTTGCTTATTCCACACTTTTGTTTGTTGGAGTTTAGAATATATTACTTTAATTGAATTGTTGGTGATTGATTGTTGCTATGCGATCGTTCTCGAAATATATTATCGGAGTCCGAACATATTTGTCTCATAATATTATGCTTCTCTCACATCAAAACCCAGAGTATTATCGAGCTAGCTTCCTATCCCTATATGTTGAAATTTGCTTATTTAAATACGAGTGGGCTTGGTACTTATTGTCCACGTTACTCTATTTTGAAAACGAGATCAACATACTAACACGCATTACTTGACGATTGATATAGTTTTAATAGTTAATTGAATCAAGCAATGCCTAACAAACGGAAGAATCCCAATTAATTGAGCTTTTCATACTAAGCCCTTGTTTGGGCGCACTTAAAATTGCAATTTCGACCGTTGATAACTAAAATTTGGATCGTTGCTTTTCACCAAGATAATATGGCTGTTGCAAAATTTCAGACATTGCAACTGCAATTTTGGACCATTTTATGTCAAAATGACGATTTTGCCCTTAGAATAAATTCATTTTGCATGCAAGACTAGACATTTTCGGTATTTCATTTATAACTTCATCAAATTTTGTTGCCAAACTGGGACCCATTATGCAGTGATTAATGGACAATTAATTGCTTATATAGGTCCCAGGCAGGCCCTAAATAACAATTTTAGAAAGTTGATATAAATGCCTCATTGCATGTATTAAAGTAATTAAATTTGTTGTTCTTTACATAAACGGCACATGTGAGATGGTGGACCCATGGAAACTATAAAACGAACTCCACGAAGAATTGCTTTAAATTTCTTAATTACATATGCACCTTGCAACTTTCAAAAACAATTCCTCATTATTGATCTTTCCACATGAGAGATTTTTGGGACAATGACCCTAAATTATTAGTTGTATAAAGTACTTTTAAAAGCAAATTAAATAATAATTTATAGATTAAAAGCCGAAGGGAGCCCTTTGAGGAATGCCTTTTCTTCTTCTTGCACTAGAAGGAGGTGGAGGAAGCGTGGGTGGGCATATACCTTGTTGTAAGCCTTCACGAAATTCTTCTTCTTGACTTGACGACGGCGTTACACTTCTTCTCGATATCCCTTCATCTCTTTCTCGTAATACTGCATCATTCTTGCCACCATCTAAGGCAAAGTTTGCATCCCCATTTCTCTTTATTCCTACAAGCTGAATTTTTCGAAATAAAAAATGCTAAAGAATTGACTTGTGACCTACTCAAGAAATTAAACACATTTTTATATGTATGGAAACTTTTATGGGAAAAATAACGGAAAACAGCATATTGATGATAATTATGTACACTAAATATTCAAAAGATGAATAATATTGTATACTAAACCCTCTTCGATTCACTAAAGATTTAGACTAAAGTATAAGAATAATTAATTTTAACCACATATTTTATGAGATCTACAAATTTTCAACCATACATTACATTAATTTTTATCAGAATCTACCAAAAATTTGATCTTTCTCTAAATCAAACGGGGGCTAAAACTCGTGAAAGGTGTGATCATATGGTTAAGTATATGAAGAAGATGATTATTGGTTGGTTCACACAACATTTTACACACACATTGGGTAGAACTCACGCTTAAGTCCTTAAATACTTGTCGGTCCACACCCCAAGCGTTTTTGGGCAATCGACAGGCTACATGATATGACTAATGTGATTGAGGTCCAAATTGCTAACCTTACATCCCAGAGAACAGAAACGAAAAGTATCCAAATTGCTAACCTTACATCCCAGAGAACAGAAACGAAAAGTATCCAAGAGGCTCCTACTACAGATTTCACAAATGTGAGAAATTCCTTTGCCAGTTTTAGGCTGAGGCCTTTCATTCAGAAACAAAACCCTTGCACTGTTAATCACATATGTTTGCACTCCACTAATGTCCAATACCTTTTCAATCTCCGAAACCCTCACCACATCATGATATGAGGATCTCCTTATCTACATTTAATATTGAATGGTCAAATTTCTTGTAACGTAATTTATGATAATTAATGCTTTTTAATACAAGATTAAAGAGTAGTATGAAGATCGGAAGAAGAAAGAAAACCATACCTGAATGACTCGATGATCTTTGTGTTTTGTTGAACGGCAGTAGAAGCAAAATGCATCGACATTACAGTCTAAGCAATACATATTGCATTCACTCCTTGCGGCCGCACCGTGAGTCGGGCAGACGGTGAAGAAATCTGTGTTCAGCAGTGGTTCTAGCCATGGAGGGACCAGCATTTTGCCCTTCACTTTCACCCAACAATGCAAAATATATATACTAATGAATATTTTGCTATATGATTATTGAATTCTTCAATGATAATGAAGAATCCGCAGAAGAATTCTGAGAAGAAATTTGCAGAGAGAGAGAGAGAAGGGGGGCTAACCTAAACAAGCAGCAACTTAGAATTCAACAAGAAAACTACACCCAGACTTGCAGGTAGGGGCAAAGGCCTAATAAACAAAAATTGACTAATGACTAATGAGCAGTCGAGATCAAAGGTGGTGGCTCAAGATTAGTATCAGCCGTCGGATCTGAACGGGGTGGGGTGGGGTGGGAATGGGGGTTACGCTTACTTTTGGATCTTCTTTGCGTCTCTACATGACCATAACGTAAGGGTCGGCCACTAGGCTACGTTAATGAAAGAATTCTAGGTTGAATCAAAACGACGACGTTCGGAATGTCGTATGTGCTTTTCTTATGCAGTGTTATCCATTACTTTCTTAATAGCTAACGAAATGGGTCCCGCGATGTGGTGTTTTTCGTCGTTGATGTGAAACGAGGAGGAAGTTTCTAAGCGAAAATATAGTTCTAAGATGATCCCCCGGTCTATTACGCAGTATTGTAATTGGGACTTCAACTTATGTTTTTGTGCCATTTGGACCTATCATTTTTCAATTATACAGGGTTTGAATCTGTGTATATGGTTTTTTCGACGTTAAAATGTGTCAGTTAAATTTTTCTGTGAATCAATGTAAAATTAAATTAAAATAAAAGGAATAATAAATAAATAAATTATAAGAAAAAAATATAAAAAATCGAACAACGGTTATCGATATCGGAAGAGGCCCAATCGAAAGATTCAAAACACGAGTTGCGAGGGGAGGGGGTTGGAACAAGGTTAGGATATGTTGTCGGGGTAAGGGAGGAGGTACACACAATAGAAGATGGGAGAAGGTCGGGAAAAAGAGGAAAAAAAATAAAATGTAAAATATAAAACGTTGGAGGTAAAATAGAAGGGAATAGCATACCACATTGGAATTAAGATTTTGAATATTAGTTTATATTACAAGAACGAGTTTTAGTTGATATCTATTCACAATGCTGCCAGCATAATTAAGTTTGGTGCAAATTGGAGTTAACCTAGTGATGACCATTGGGGTTCACAATATTTATTCTTAAAGGGGACAATTGGGACCATCGACCGTATCTAGAAAGATAATCCATGGCGATTTCAAAGCGGACACTCCATATTTGGTTTAAAAATTAAATTTTCAGCAATTCTTTTTAAAAGTTGATGAAACATGGTTGAAAAATTGATAAAAGCTGTTGATCTCATTAATATGTGATTAAAAATAAATTTCAAATTATGTAAACTAAAAACAATTTAATGGTAAATTTGGATCAGTATCCTAGATAGGTGACCTTTGTTGCATTTGAGAGGGGATATCCATCTAGGATCAGTATGAAATTAGCATGATTTGAATTTCCATTTTTGTTAAATATTATGTAGTTTACAAAGCAAATCGTTAGTGCTTACGCGAATTTTTTTTGAATAATATTATCTATTAATAGAGAATCAGAGATGTATCATCCTTTAGGTATAAACGGGTCTCAAATTCATTATTTTATACCGTAGATACCTCTAGCTTTCTGTTCGACTTCCTGATCTACTTCCTACTCCCTACATCCCAATCTGCTATTTCTTACAATCTCCTGATCTTATGTTGAATGTATCTTCAAGTGGAACACTAAAAATCGCCTATTTTTGTGTTTGTAATTACACTTCAATCCACCTCTCTCATTTCTTTCTCAACAGATCAAGGAAATACAGTGTTTTGAGTTATGAAGATTGATGTTTTCCCAAAGCCTAGTTGTCGGATCACAAGATGTTATGGATGTGAATTACCAATGATTTTCGCCTTGGATCTCTTGATCAAAGATGTGTAGATGTTATGCAATGAAAGAATAATGTGGCAACTCTATTTCTCACGTCCCAAACTTTGGTAATTATACTTTGGGGGTAAATATGTGTCTTAGGCCATGTAAAATTCTCCAAAACGCGACCTACAGCATAGCACTGTCGCTCGATTGACAAGTCGGCTAAAAGCAAGGGACGTGGGGACGAAGAGCAAGCAATGAGCTCTCTGCTTTTTACCGTCGAGCGATGGTCAGGCGAGCAGCTTGAGAAATCCCCGCACGTCTTCTACCTTGTTCCAAGTGCAAACCCTAGCCTAACCAACTATACACAATTGCAATGCAAGTCCCTGACTTTTACAACAATGTTCAACATTTTGTTCACAAAATCGCCAATTACAATATTAGACCTAACACTCCCAATATACAATGACATGTCATCTCTTATTACGTCGATAATGTGCATCCCGTTATGGATGATGTAGCTTTTCAATCTGGCTAAGTGTTCTATAGTAGAGTTGCCTCTACACCTATCGAGAGAAGTGTTTGAACCAATATTTCCAAATGGATGCAATGCTGTATTAGCATATCTAATACAAATTTTAAATGTGAAAAATTGTCCAAGGATATTTCTACATTTAGCGCATCTACTTAAATTGTGGGATATTTATTGTGCCCGAAGATCTCAAATTGCAATTGCGAATGGGTTAATGGGTTAAGTATAATTGCAGTCATTGACACTCTTATTGGAACAACAATCCAATATTAAGTAAGAGTGTACATTTCATGTATAAATCTTACATGGAGCTATTACTCACGCATTTTTACCGAGTGAGTACTAATCAAATGCAGAAGGTCAACAAATGCCTCTTTTCTAAAGTGTTTATCATGAAGCTCGTATTTAAGTAATGTTCTCCAAAAATTCATTTTTCTTCACATTTATTTTTAATCACACAGTCTTCCGCTTAAATAATTTTATACGTAAACTACAAAATTTTATTCTACATTTTAACCCCATATTCTTTATAAAAAATAAAAAAAATATAAATAAAATTCATTTTACAAAATCTACTCTCAAAAAATGGGCTCAAACAGAGCCAAATAAGGATTGCTTCTCAACATCTTGTTAGATGGTGTTCGGTGAAACCCAAAAAAGGAAAAAGTAGAGTTATTTATTTATCCCTAAATTTTAGATGGTCCTCATATCTTTTACACTGAATAAAAACTTATTACTATTGACGTGACAAGATAACCTTACTGATGGTTCTCTAAAAGACTAAAACGATCATATATTTAGAGAATCATAACTAACGTTTTCTTACTAAGTCAACAGTGAGAATTTATTATCATGCTCACTAGATGCAAGAGATCAATTCTAAAAGTTCAGATAATACATTTTTTTTTCTTTTTTACGTTTAAGTAAAATTATTAATTTTTTATTTTATAATTTCTTGTTACTTGTAAGTAAAGTTTTTAAGTTTTGTCAAACGTGCTCTAAGTAGAACAATTTAAGATGATCCAAATGGATGCAATGCTGTATTAGCATATCTAATACAAATTTTAAATGTGAAAAATTGTCCAAGGATATTTCTACATTTAGCGCATCTACTTAAATTGTGGGATATTTATTGTGCCCGAAGATCTCAAATTGCAATTGCGAATGGGTTAATGGGTTAAGTATAGTTGCAGTCATTGACACTCTTATTGGAACAACAATCCAATATTAAGTAAGAGTGTACATTTCATGTATAAATCTTACATGGAGCTATTACTCACGCATTTTTACCGAGTGAGTACTAATCAAATGCAGAAGGTCAACAAATGCCTCTTTTCTAAAGTGTTTATCATGAAGCTCGTATTTAAGTAATGTTCTCCAAAAATTCATTTTTCTTCACATTTATTTTTAATCACACAGTCTTCCGCTTAAATAATTTTATACGTAATACACAAAATTTTATTCTACATTTTAACCCCATATTCTTTAAAAAAAATAAAAAATAAAAAAAATATAAATAAAATTCATTTTACAAAATCTACTCTCAAAAAATGGGCTCAAACAGAGCCAAATAAGGATTGCTTCTCAACATCTTGTTAGATGGTGTTCGGTGAAACCCAAAAAAGGAAAAAGTAGAGTTATTTATTTATCCCTAAATTTTAGATGGTCCTCATATCTTTTACACTGAATAAAAACTTATTACTATTGACGTGACAAGATAACCTTACTGATGGTTCTCTAAAAGACTAAAACGATCATATATTTAGAGAATCATAACTAACGTTTTCTTACTAAGTCAACAGTGAGAATTTATTATCATGCTCACTAGATGCAAGAGATCAATTCTAAAAGTTCAGATAATACATTTTTTTTTCTTTTTTACGTTTAAGTAAAATTATTAATTTTTTATTTTATAATTTCTTGTTACTTGTAAGTAAAGTTTTTAAGTTTTGTCAAACGTGCTCTAAGTAGAACAATTTAAGATGAAATAAAACCTTAAAAATTGGTGAGTTTGCGTAAATTCTTAACAAAAAGTACAATCTTTCCTTGATATAAGGAAAAAGAAGCTAAAGAAATGCAGGTGTAGGATGGTTAACGTGAAACATATGCAACCCATGGCTTAAAATGGTCAGATTCGAAAACTTATACCAAAACTAAGTAAAGAAGCAGAAGGGACCATTTAGGGTTACACAATTTTAGAGCTTAATTATGTTCAAGAATTCTTTCCTTCGCGTGATGATTCTACAGGACAAATTTAATTAAAAAATATGATACTATGTTGAAATAACTAAGAATCGGACAGTCATATAAAAAACTATGATTCGAACCGATTATAGTTTGATTTCTGTCATAAAGATGTAATCAATTCCGCGTATAAGTGCAAGATGAAAGTGATTCTCGGTCGAAGTTTGAAGTCGAACCAATCACATATAATTTGACTTTGAGAAGTAATTGGTTCTCTCTAAGAATAAAATCTAATATAACATGCATAGTTGGATTCTTCGAGGGATTAGAGTTTCAAAATCGGATATTGTTGAGTTGATTGGACTTTTAATTAGATATCGACTCGGACACTCAACCAAATAGATCAAGAATCGATATATATATAACATTGTTGCGTGTTTAACAAGGAGCAGGAGCAAGGCTGGCAAACTTTAGTCTTAAGTTATTGACCTCATGTTATCTTAACCCTAGTTAAGCTCACAGTATTGTATAATCAATCAGATTAATCAAGTGGTTGGCAGGCATCATGTGCACTTTGAATGCATCATGTACCGTGGGTTCATAGACAGACATCCCATATTTTTGGAACATCGTAGGGACACAAATTTGACATTTTATTAGGTTCTGTACAAAAATAAATATTCTAGTTTGCATCAAAGAGGGTACTTGACGTGAAATGCTGCTGATATTTCTTATAAAATATTAACATGTAGCCCTTGGTGTACCCTAAAAGCTGGGCAAATCTCCCGAACCGAACCGATCCGAATCCGACGGTTCTTGTCAAATTAAATACCCGAACGGGTATCTGAATTGAGAACCGACGGGTACGGTTTGATTCTCGGTTCTAGACCAAGAACCGAAAAATCGAATAAGAACCGAATCTTTCTAATTTTTTTTTTATATTAAGTAAATCAAATTATTTTAATTTTAATTTTTTCTAAACAAATTAACAAATTAATGACTTCTTGATCCAAATTTTTGGCCCAATAATTTGTTTCATTTCTAATTTTTTAATTTTTGGCCCAATTACCCATTTCATTGTTTCATTTCTTAGCCAAACAAGATCAAATCCACTAAATAACCCTAAACACCTACAATAAAGTGCATAACGTTGTCTCGACTCTCGCACTCACTCTCGCAGCCTCGCTAATATTCCAAAACCTATATAATCGTCGGCCGACACTCTGACCTCCGATCGAAGCCGTGACTTTCGCCGACCGAAACTTTGATCGTAGCGATCATTTGAACAAGGTAGTTTACTAGTCTCTGACATTCCAAAATCATTGAATGTATCATTAGTCGTATTTATATAACGTTGTTATAAATGTTAAAAAATTTAATTATAGTACAGAACCGAACAAAATCGAATCGAATGGAACCGAACCTGAACGGTTCCATTTACTAGATACCCTAAAAGTTTGGTTCGGTTCTGTTCTAAAGAGAACCGAACCAAACCGACCCGCGCCCACCCCTACCTAAAAGTTCAAAGAAAATTAAATTAAAGTTATTTTTAATCACATCTTTAGTGAGAATAATAAATTTTACCAATATTCAATCACATTTCATCAATTTTTATCAAAATATAATAAAATTATGATTTTTAGCTGAACCAAACATGGATATAATATTCTAATTAAAAATTGTATGTAGAGTGTTGGATATTTTAATGAAAGGGGTGTGATTTGCTATTTAAAAAATGAATATTTTGATTTATTAAAATATTTTTAATTTTAAACTCATAATTTTTTGACAAAATTTGTTTTGTGCTTTATACTGTAAGATACAGTATGGAAAGATTTTTGTAAGAGATTATTTACAGTAATTTTTTTTAATAAATTACTTAAAAAATGATGAATTCACATGCAAATTCTAAAAATATAATTTAAAAGAAAATAAAAAATATTATGTCTACAAATTACCGAGAAAACAAAAAAAAATTGTGAGTTCCGTACAAAAGTCTTTGTTTGATTCATGTTATTTTCAAAATATATTTTCTTTCACTTATTTTTAACTACTTATTCTTTAATAAGATAATATTATATATAAATCTAAAAAAAATTCTAATTTTTTGACCACACATTCTCCATAAAAATATTATGTCAAAATAAATTTTTAGACAAAAAATGGAGTTTAAACTGGTTCTAAATGTGTATATTAAAAGAAAATAAAAAAGGCTCGCAGTGAAATTCCTCTGCATTTCTTCTTTGCAATGGTAATGCAGTTATTCACCAATGATAACGCGCCACGCACGCGCAAGAGAAAAAGCAAGGCCAACTTGAGTTAATTGTTCTAATGATCAGTGAAATTAGGTTCATATTTTTGATTGGCCACTGAACTTTAAAATATCGAATTTTGATCATTGAACTTAGGTCAATATCTTCGATTACTCATTGAAATTTAAAATGTTGAGTTTTGACAACCGATATTTGAAAAATGTTGAACATTATTCACTGTAAATTCGATATTTTTCAAAATTCAATAATTATACTAGTTAGTAACGTACAACATATTTCAAAGTTCAGCGATCAAAACTCGACATTTTAAACTTCAGTAAGCAATTTAAGACATTAACCTAAGTTCAGTAAGCAATCGAAAATATTGATCTAAATTTAGTGATTAAAATTCGATATTTTAAACTAAAGTGACCAATCAAAGATATGGACCTAAATTCAGTGATCAAATTCGATATTTTTTAAAATTCAATGGCCAAAAATCAATATTTTAAAGTGAAAAGGCCGACATGAATCTTCATTGACCTTTGGAACAATTAATCGCAACCCTTACCAACATTACAAAACAAAAAATGAAAAGGAATAGCGTTTCAGTGAATCTCTCTATAGGTTTCGATTCTCTCCTTGATTGATCAATTAATTAAACGATCAACGAACAATACGTCTTCAAAGTCATGTTCAAGTCCTTCTGGTAACATTTCCTCTCAATTTTTAATTTTTCTTGTTTTAAGTTTGATTATTCTCTAATGAGCTTCTGATGTTCAATTTTTTATATATTTTTTGAAGAAAAGACTGATTCTTGATTGTTTTTCTTTTCTTATCTATCAATTACTTGTCGATTATTTATTGAAATTTGGTGCTTATAGAATTCGTGGATTACAAGTTCATTATTTGACCTTTTCTTTCAATTAACAAAAAATCTGCACTCTCTGAGTTGGACGTGCATCATCTTTCTTGTCAACCGCAGGTGTTCTATTATTTGTATATTCATTTGATTTCTCTAAGTATTAGTTTAATTAACAATCTTAGGGATGTGGGTTAGAAACCCAATTTCTGGGGAGATACCGGTTGTGATCCATGGATCTCCAAGCGGAGACCATATCCAAGCTCTATGATCAGTTTGTGCCCTTTAGGTCTGTCCCGGATAGTTGGTTCTGTCATTCCTTTTCTGATCAATTCTAAAACCTAGGACAGACAGATTTTGATTTTAATCTTGATGGATTATGATGATATCGAGAAAATTCTGAAGAAAATCAGGTTGTGTAGATGCAATTTCCATATGTCAGTTTTGACTTAGCTTTGTATAAACAAGGCTCAGTAAGCAATCGAAAATATTGATCTAAATTTAGTGATTAAAATTCGATATTTTAAACTAAAGTGACCAATCAAAGATATGGACCTAAATTCAGTGATCAAATTCGATATTTTTTAAAATTCAATGGCCAAAAATCAATATTTTAAAGTGAAAAGGCCGACATGAATCTTCATTGACCTTTGGAACAATTAATCGCAACCCTTACCAACATTACAAAACAAAAAATGAAAAGGAATAGCGTTTCAGTGAATCTCTCTATAGGTTTCGATTCTCTCCTTGATTGATCAATTAATTAAACGATCAACGAACAATACGTCTTCAAAGTCATGTTCAAGTCCTTCTGGTAACATTTCCTCTCAATTTTTAATTTTTCTTGTTTTAAGTTTGATTATTCTCTAATGAGCTTCTGATGTTCAATTTTTTATATATTTTTTGAAGAAAAGACTGATTCTTGATTGTTTTTCTTTTCTTATCTATCAATTACTTGTCGATTATTTATTGAAATTTGGTGCTTATAGAATTCGTGGATTACAAGTTCATTATTTGACCTTTTCTTTCAATTAACAAAAAATCTGCACTCTCTGAGTTGGACGTGCATCATCTTTCTTGTCAACCGCAGGTGTTCTATTATTTGTATATTCATTTGATTTCTCTAAGTATTAGTTTAATTAACAATCTTAGGGATGTGGGTTAGAAACCCAATTTCTGGGGAGATACCGGTTGTGATCCATGGATCTCCAAGCGGAGACCATATCCAAGCTCTATGATCAGTTTGTGCCCTTTAGGTCTGTCCCGGATAGTTGGTTCTGTCATTCCTTTTCTGATCAATTCTAAAACCTAGGACAGACAGATTTTGATTTTAATCTTGATGGATTATGATGATATCGAGAAAATTCTGAAGAAAATCAGGTTGTGTAGATGCAATTTCCATATGTCAGTTTTGACTTAGCTTTGTATAAACAAGGCTCTGGTGTACAAGAAAAATAAAACAGACTTACCATAATGAAGTCTATGATGGGGACTACAGGGAAATAGATAGCTGCAGTCTATTGTTTTGTTTCTTTAATATGCTGTACAGATTTTTTTTTTTTGCTTAACTTCCGTGTATAAATCAGGAGCAAATGTTTTGTACAATTCAATTCAATTAATATGAATTCCTTGGTATCCAACATAAAATACTCTTCTTTTATTAGATTACTAGTAAGGTTGTGTGATAGAATAGCAAGGCATGCATAGTCCGTTTTAGATCTTTATTCTACCCTCCAAATCATCGGCGTGGGACTATGTTTGAGTGACTTATTTTGGAGGAGTGGAAGCATATGATTGCAATTTTGAAACTAACCTGTTTGCAAGATTATGGAAACGGGCCACTTCAGAAGCATGCTTCAAAATGTAGCGTGTTATGATGTAACAGTTGGTCTGATTAGAGCACTGCAGGTAGTCTTGGGTGGTAAATGTTTTGTTGAGTTTGTTATGATCTGGTTAATTATGCCTGAAAAATGAAATTGACTATAGTGGAGATTATATAACATGGTGCCTTCAGATAATGGATGGTGGACTGGTTTGTTAATCATCATTGGCCTCATTTGGAAGAGTCATGGGAAAGTCTTTGTTCAATTTTGCCACAGTATTCGTTCCCGTGCATTTCATCTTGTTGTGATTCGTTCATTCATTCATTCTTTTATATTATTATTATTATTATTTATTTTTACTAAGAAATATACATGCTTCCTGTTTTATAAGGAAAGTGAATGAAATATGCTGATGTTAGCGTTGTTCTCATATCTAAGACACATAAGCTTCAGATTATGTGCATGTTATAGTGCTTTAATTGCATTTATCCACAGGGGTTCTCAGGAGCAACAAGCTCAGCCACATCCACAAGAAATTTCTACAGATTCGTGGTATCCACCATCTGTTGTCAGTTCAACCAGTTCTTCACGTCCCCCAACATCCAGTGTCACCTCTTCCAGCAACTTCAGTGTATCTAGGCCCCCAGATCGATCAAACTCTTTTTCAAATGTTTCTCCTGCAGAGGCTGCAGGTATCATCGCTCAGTTAAAAGATAAAAGGTAAAGTCTTGCTATCCCATTTCAAACCATTTACCTTTTTATTTTCACAACTTTGGTTTTATCATAAAACTAGATGATGATATAATTATTTCTTAATATTCAATTTACAGATTTCCATCTCTTTTTTCGCCACTTGTTGAAATTTTGTACCTTGAGTTATGCTATTTTCATTCAATCATTCAAATTAGTTGGGATGTTTGAAACTAAGATGCTCGGACTCGGGTACGGGTATCGGGTACGGGTATGTATCAAAGCGTGAGATCTTTTATTTTCTAAAATGTGGGATACGGGGACATGGCTAAAAAGAGTCCAAATTTAGGACACGGGTACGTGGGTACGTTTTTCAAACTTCAATTTTGTTTTTTAGATTTTTTTTTTATATTGTCGTATTTTTTTAGTTAAAAATGATGAATTGAAATTTTTTTTTTTTAAAAATGATTAATTTTATTGTTTGAATATTTTATTAAACTAGAATATGATTGGTGTAAAAATAATTATATTATTAGTCCACTCATATCCATTTCCCAAACTCCAATTAAATCCATGTATATCCAATATCAATATTATTAGCCCAATAAAAATGGCCCAACCTCAATTAAATCCATCCACATCCATATTATTAACCCAACCCACTTCCATATCATTAGCCCCAATCAAAATGGCCCAACTCCAATTAAACCCAAGTCTCTTCTTTCATTCCTGTCTCCGTCTCCCCATCTTCCATCTTCCTTCTTCTCCTTAACGATTCTAGGGTTCCACCGGAAGATAGCCAGCAGATTTTGGACCAAAGATCGCCGGCGGCGGGGCGCTAACCTGCTATTTCTTTACACATACCTTCCATCTCCATCCAATAAGGTAAATTTTCAATTTTTCTTAAGATTTTTTGCCGGGTCCGATTGAAATTGGAAGAATCGGACCCGTATTCCGTACCGGTACCTGTGTCGTGTCGTGTCGTGTCGACACGGGTACTCCGGCCGAAATGAAGAGTCCAAGCATCTGAGGTTTGAAACGAAATGATTACCTTTGCACTCCTACGGTGGGGTTGCTCATATGTTATGAACTGTGGGATAATTTAGATACTGATATAAATCATCTAAAATCCCTCAAATGGGATTGGTGTGGTCTGTTAAAGAAGGAGGGATTCATCAATGAGAAGAGATAATATATCGTAATCTCCAGCGACAAACTGAACCTTCTTCTGTTTCAGTGATTTAGAATATGCAGTCAATTATTTCTAATATAGTTATAGAAGAAAATCACATGCATATGTACTGTCCCCCACCCCCATCTAAAGAAAAAGTAAACCTGAAAAAGAATTAAATGAAGCCAAAGGTATAAATTAACATAGGTATTTAGGGATTGGTAATTAACTATGCTGTTAACCCTTGAATTTCTATTTTACACATTGTAGTTTTTGTCACAATCTTGTTTGTTGTTTGATATTATCAGTCTTGATGAGCTTCGGAAGCTTTTGTCTGACAAGGATGCATATCAAAACCTCTTTCATTTGCTTGAACCTGTCAAAACTCAAAATAGGGTGAGCTGCATTTGTGGGAATTATATTCTCTAATTGTACTTCCCTATTGTTTCTTTGTACCTTGTTTGCTCGAGGCTATGAAGATCTACAAATAGTGTTGAATAACTAGGAGCATTATTGTGTTTGTTTATAATTAAGTCGAGCTTATCTCAAAATAACTTTCATTTTATTGTATGACGAATCCGTTTGATGATATGCTGACAACAAATCAAACATACTTATATATGAATTTGCCTTTCAGACATATTTGTCTAACCTTATAATTTATTATTTTTTTCTTATTAATAAATAGAAAAAGTTATCCTCTATTTGGTTTGGATAAAAATAAGATTTTTAGTAGATTTTGATAAATTTGGTGAAACATGTGATAGAAAAGTTGATAAAAGTTATGATCTACTAAAATGTGAGGTTGACAATGAATTTGGAAAAAAAATTGAGTTTTAAGAAATAGAAGCCAAACAGGGGCTTAGTTAATTTTACTGGGGATAGCCACTCAAATCTTTTGACCAGTATGACTTAAACATCTTCGCTAACTTAATAATATTATGCCAAAAAAATTAAAAATCATTAGCTAAGTAATAAGAACTTAAATTAATAAATTGAAAATTTAAATCTGAATATAAATAGATATTGATAAATAAATCTGTATATTAACTATGATTATATATGCTACAATTGAAATATTTTTTTCTACAAATAATATTAATAAGTTTATCCCATCATACATTTTAATTTCATCAGTTAAATAATGAACTTCTTAAACTAATAACTGCTAAACCAATTGAATATATTGATTATTAATTAAATTTTCAGTAAAATTTTAAGTAGTAAGAAATTCCTGTTTTTTATTCACTGGGACACACATGTTTGCAGCTTGTATGCGATGCAAGGTATTGTCGTGGAATCTAGTAAATATATGAAGGAGATATAAAATGAGGAACTTTTCTTTATATTTTCTTTGATGAATAAATTATATGCTCCTTCAGAAGGTGGCGAAGATGTGTAACTAGAGTTGATGATGTAACGCCCCAAATTAAATAAAAATAACGTCACGTAAACATATAACATTAAACGGAATTAAACCGAAACACTTTGGAATAAAAGTTTATTTGTTTTATATGCTATATTTTTATTCTAAAATTTTCGGAGTGTTACAGATTATGTATCATATGTGTAAAATTTGGAAATACTGATGAAACTTTGTCAGCTGAAAGTCTTCACATCGATTATTGATCTTCATTGAATTTGGCCTTTTTTTCATGTTAGATGTATGTTAAAGTACCTTGTACAGGGAAAAAAATATTGTTTCTAGTTCTTACTGAAGAATAAAACAGTAGGACTTACATCCATTAATGGACCTCTTGTCCCTGTTTGCTTTAAATTTGGATTGCTTTAAATACACATGGGTACTTCGTGATTCTCATCCATTAAAGGACCTCATGTACCTGTTTGCTTATGTGTTGACATGAGTGGAGGCGGAGGTAGAAGTTTGCCTGCGTTGGTTGTGTATTTCTTATTAGTCCATGCTGTTAGTGGTTGCCTAAATTCATTTTTGCGTTACTCTTGACACATTCTCCATTTTTAAATTACTTAATAGGTGAGAGATGAACTTCGGAACGAGACACTGAAACTTACTAGTAAGTTTATAATTCACGTCATTTTCCAGTTCTCCGTACAACTGTAGCATATTGAATACGAATGATAACATTTTGTAGGAGCGAATCTGGAAAAAGAACCACGAATAATGGAGCTCAGGAATCAGGTGACAGTCTTCATCAGCATTCAATTTTCCCTAATTCCTGAACTCTTATCAAAATTTTTAAAACCTTCCACTCTTCTTTTGCGGGGGTGCAGTGCAAAATCATCCGCTCAACTGAGCTGGCTACTATCCAAGAAAAGTTGCACGACTTAGAGAGAGAAAAAGAGGAGATACTGAAATTTTATTCACCATCTTCCTTCCTCCATCGTCTTCAAGGTAAATTAGAAGTGTGAATTTTCTTAAACTCTGCTTTCTGATGATAAGGTGATGATGTTAGTTTAAATTGCATTTTCAGTTTGGAATTTCGTCCATATAGTAGTTTTGCATGCTGAGATTACTGATTTGCTTTTGGCATTTAATGAAAACGACTTTTTTTCCTTCCTGCTAAAAAGCAGCAAAAAAGATCATAGAGATCACGGACATGGCACCCGATCATTTGTCCATTGCTGGGGATATTTGTTTTTTGCACATACATACAAGGCTCACTCGTATTCCCGTTTAAGATAAGCAAAGATGCAAATCTTACCACCTGTCTAGTTCTGAAATGCTCCACTGACTTTCATTAGTCCTTCTCTAGCCTTCTGTTAGCCACTCAAGCACAATAAAACATTTATATAAGAAGTCCATTGAACACAGTATCTCCATAAACATTCTGGAACCTTTCATGATCTCACCTGACAATCAGTCTTTCATAAAACCTGCTATCTATTACCACTGTAAAGGTACATCGACTAATTATTTTTCCTTCATCAATCGTTGATCGGTATACTATGTTCGTGCAAGTGGCTGTACTAGCTATTCCTTGCTTAATTCTGTTGAAATTATTCTCCTTTCTCTGATAAATTATCCAAATGAGTTCTTCAGAAGCGGACCTGCTTTGTAAAATCTAGATTGCATAACCTCCAGCTATAACTCTTGGGTGGTTTTACTGGAAAGTTGAGATGCATAAACCTGCTATTCATCATATTTTTGTTACTACTTAGTCATTTGCTCGGAAAGGTTTCTTTGAACTAAGACTAGATAATTTTAATATAATTTGTTATTATTTCAGAGGCAATGAATGAAACAGAAGTGGTATCTGAGGCCCTCGACAGGCAGCTTCTCGATAGGGAGATTGATCTTACGTCTTTCATACCAAAATACAAGAAGTTGCACTATACTTACCATAAGCACGCACTTACCCATCTTGCTGCGAAAACATCGATGACAAACTAAGTAGTGATGCTGTAGTATGTTAGATGCTGCTTTCCCTTAAACTGGTAAACATTGTTACGGTAGGCAAGCTAGTCTTAGTTTTGCCAAGTTATTTCAAGTGTTTTTTTGCGTAGTTAGTTCGTTCTTTATTCTGTATACATGGTTTTTACAGGCTTATAGGGAACATGTCACCGATTTGCTATTACAGTGTAATTATAGATATCCAAATATGAGTTTACGATTCCCATAGTACATAAAATATATATCTAGCCTCGCATAAGATCATTATCAATATACGTGAATTCTCAATTCCTTTTTTTTTTTTTTTTTGTGTGTGTGTGTAATTTAGTCGACACTATGGCATCAAATCGATATGAAAAACGTGTCAATTAAAAATAGGAATTTATTTGAACACCGGAAGACTTATTGCAGCTGCTGCTAACATTCCACTTCAGATTAATACAACTCTTGCGGAGTCTTAATTGGCAAGAAAACACGAAATTTACGTACAGGATGCGATAAAATTCAAGTTTCTGGGTTATTCTTACAACTGAAACCAGCAATATTGTACTTGCGAATCCACTCTTGATAGATGAACCTTTTTGTTCCAACTCCATTATGTTATCTTTGCATCATAACAACGCCACTAGGGAAAAAGTAAGATGCCAAAAATTCCAGATTTCTAGATGTCATTAAGCAGTAAAGGTTCTCCACCCGCATGGTAAAATGCTAATTGTACACAATAATTTTATTACTCCAAGAAAATATTCCTAGCAGATCCCATATATATAGTACATGAAAGGTTGGTGTCTGAAGTTTTACGCTTAACAATTTAACAAAACAGAGGAATTATAGAATATGCCCCCCTCCACCTCTCTGAAGAGGTAAAAGTGAAGGAGGCAACCTGGATCATTTTGCCATCTGACTTTCCTCATTCAAGCGGTCAAGTTCTTTCTCCCACTTTAGTCCAAACATCTGACGGCCAAAGGGAACAATGAGGTTGTAACGGAACACCTACAAGAAATGTAACGCATGCTCCAAGTTAATGAAATACACAAAAATTCGAGCAATTAAGCTGTGGATTGGATAAATTATTATATCTTTTTAGGTAAAAGAGGAGAAAGTTTATGCAGTACAAAGGCCATGCTCTCAATTCATTTCATAACTGCTATCTATAAGATAACAGACTGACACAAAATTAACATAGGATGATAGGAACATGCTACAGAAATTATACTGTAATTGTTAATATATGATAAAATACAGTTTCCAACAACCCCAATTTACAAGACAATTTCGCATGTCAGATGCATCACACAATGCTTTGACATTTACTTTATCATATTAGAACCCTATTGGTTGGCCAGGATCAAAGCCAAGCCAAAAAACAGGGGGCCGATGTGGTGGCCCCCTATTGGAGGGGTGCCTGTTCAGGTTTGCTGATCATATTGTTTGAACGTTTCACCTGGAAAATGTTCAGAACACATTCATCTAAACCAATGTAAAAGAGGTTATAACAATTCTCTAACATGGATGACACAGATGCATAAACTGATTCCACAGTTCAATTGCATCGCATGCGATTCAACCTAGATGTTTCAACAAGTGTATGCTCCAGTAAAAGTAAAAAAAGGATTATCAGAGTACCTTATCATTGATGCCCTGCAGCTGGAATTTTAGAGCCTCTGAACACTCATCCCATTTAGAATCATCTTGATTGCCTTTATGTTTCCAGGCTTTCTTTAAGCCTACACGCCACTCTGCAATATTATTCCTTATCTCCTTATTGAGTTCAACCCACTCTGGAGCAAATCCATTTTTGTTGAGTATTCTATACAAAGTGTCGTCAGCTGGGTCAACATGAGGATTAATACTCAGGTCCAAGGGCTTTCCCTTGCCTGGCAAATTCTCGAATTGACCTTCTTCCATGGCATTCCACACACGTCTCTCGACAACATTTACAATGTCAGTTTCAGTCCTAACACCAAAGTTAAGATCATAATCCAACACATTAGGTAACAAACAAAAATTTAGATTGCATTCCAAGTTGTTCCTGGTCATTGAAGCCAAGCTACTTTCTAAACTAACAAGGGATACTTCAAATTCTGGTAATTTTAGCTCAAAACAATAAAAGAAAATCGAAAGGCCAATAGATTATTTCTGGAGAACACAAATATCTAGAACAGCTAGTCTGAGTAACAAGAGGACGATTAACATTTACAATAAATACAAATTTTCAGGCACATTCAAATGGGGATTCCTTGCGTAATTTGGATGTGTATTGTCACATGGGAGAAGAGAAAATCATATACGTTCAAATACATTATAGAGTGAATGAGAACGACGAGGAGTTTGGAACCGCTAATGAAAAATGCGCACACATTGCTAGAGTGAACCTTGGCATCCATCAAAGTCTCGGCGAGATAAATAACACTAATTGCTCAAGTCATTGATTGCATAGTGATTTAGTTAAATGGATTTTGACACTCTTAAGCTGCATTTGTCCCCTAGAATCCGCACCTTAACTGAAATTTCGAAAAAAAGAGAAAAAAGGAAGCTGTTCAATTTCGAACAGGATCGTTTCTAATTTCAATGAGAAGCCCCCAATTCCAAGACGTGAAACATGCTTCAAAAATTAAACCTCTTTATGTAAGTAAATCTTCTTTCACAATTCACAAACATCATTCCAACATCCCAAAAATAACGAGGGAAAAAAAAATTACTTATTGCTTATAGTAGTAAATACTATCTGCAAAGATTCACCTGACGTTATTGCGTTGGCCACGGAGTTCGGGAGGGAGCTTACTGTCGTTGACGGTGTCAATTACGCCGGAGAGACGGTCGGTCGTCACTTTTTTGGGCTTCGCCGAAGAAGAAGATGATGATGACGAAGAGGCCCATCTGGACAAACTAGGGCGAAAGATGGAGAAGGTTTCCGTTGCCTTTGATTTTTGAATGAACGGTGCAGATGAAGAAATGATCGCTTTCCTTCTTGCGAAGAAAGCAGACATGGCTATGGAAGTTGGGTCGTTTGACCCATTCAAGTTAAAGGGGCTGGGATTATGGCGGTGCTGTTTTAGAAGACTGACTATTATGACGTAAGTGACATGGAAATTTAGGGAAGTAGCACCAAATTGGTTTCACTTATTTTTAAATTTACTTATTTTATTAATCATAATTTTTAACTGTATATTCTTTATTTTCTAATGTTATTCTACTTTTTATCTAGTATGAAGAAAAAAAAGGAGAAACAAAACCAAAAATCATATACATACATTCACAAGAGAGTACATACTTTATACATTACACGAAGTATATATATTAGAGTTCGGGTTTTGAATCGCCGGTAATGGCTGGAGGGGGGGTTTTATTGCTGGTTGTCGTGTTGGTGGGCTCGGCAGCGAGTGGCATCGGAGGAGTTCAAAAAGTGATGAATTTGCAGAGGGCGTTCCCGGTAAACCAGATAGTGGAGCTGGAGGCGCTAAAGGCTCGGGACCGAGTGAGGCATGCTCGAATGTTACAGAGCTTCGCCGGAGGCATCGTTAATTTTTCGGTCTTCGGAACCTCTGATCCTTCTAATGCTGGGTAAATCAGATTCTACCAGACTCTGAAAATTCGTGCAATTTAAATTAATTTTTTATACTTGAAAAGGCTGGAAAATTATGTTTACTACTTGAAGTTATTTTGTAATTTCCCATGAAGATATTTTGATATCCAAATGTTGCTTAATTTGGATTTTGTTGTTCTGATTTTTAGATTTCTTTCGTCATGTAGTTTCTAGAAATCTAGTGTATTATACAATTTATGGGCATTATATCGTAAATTTTCGATTGTTCAAAATAGATACTGATTGTCGTCTCCTTAAGTACAAATAACTATTGTCGACTCTGTTTCAACTTGGACTCTCTCTTTTGTCTTGATTTCAGTTTACTGTTTTTTAATATGTAATGTTATAGTATTGGGTTGTTGACTGATATTTTCTATTTTGATTGAATATTCTCTATTGCTTGCAGACTTTATTATACCAAAGTTAAATTGGGATCTCCACCAAGAGAATTCAGTGTGCAAGTTGATACTGGTAGCGATATATTGTGGGTTGCATGCAGTTCCTGTAATAATTGCCCCAAGACAAGTGGACTTGGAGTAAATTTCTGCTCTTTATCCCCCCCCCCACCCCCCCCTTTCTTTTTATTGCTCGAGTTTGATGGTTCTTGAATTGCTTGTACTGGTATTGGGATGTGTTTGCAGATTGAACTCACTGTCTTTGATGCTGATAGCTCATCAACCGCTTCCCCTATTTCCTGCTCTGACAATCGATGTGCTGCTATAGTTCAAACTGCAAATGCTGAATGCTCTACACAAAGCAACCAATGTAGTTACTCATTTCAATATGAGGATGGAAGTGGTACATCTGGTTTTTATCTGTCAGACGTGCTTTATTTTGACACAATTTTGGGTGCCTCATTGATTGCCAATTCTTCAGCTCCTATTGTTTTTGGGTGAGAATTTTATTATGACTTCCTATATGATTGTGCATTCTAGTTGTATGGGAATATGCAATTTGGTATGAATTGGTTATGTCAAGTAATAAAAGATGGACTTCAGAGTGAGAGGATTCTATCAAAACACAATATTATAATACCAAAAGTAGAAGTGGTTCACATTAGCAATTCCACAGAAAACTTGATAGTTGAATGGAATTATTACCTATGAAGTTTGTTGCTAGGGCATAAAAGAAAAGGCAAGGAAGTTTCAGTTTATATATGGAGTTTTTTAGGTAACTGGTAAGAAAGAATTATAATTGTCAGACGTGAGATTTTGGGCTTGACGTATGTTAAGTTTTGCGTCTTCTTCAGCCTCTCAATTTTCCTTTCTTGTGGTTCCATTACAGAAGCTTTGTGACCACAGAAATGTTTGTGTTGGTTGAAGCATTTATTTGACTCTGATGTGGAAACAGGTGCAGCACCTCTCAGTCTGGGGACTTGATTGCATCAGATAAAGCGATTGATGGAATATTTGGATTTGGCCAGCAGGGTCTTTCAGTAATATCCCAATTGTCGTCGCTTGGAATCACTCCTAAAGTATTTTCCCATTGCTTGAAAGGGGAGGGCGAGGGTGGAGGTATCCTAGTTCTAGGTGAAATTTTGGACACAAGCATCGTTTATAGTCCCCTCATTCCTTCACAGTACGTATTTTTCACAGAGTGGAAATATTTTCTTTTGTTGGTGATTCTTAATTGAAAAGGTGCATATATAGAGTATCACAGTATGATTTTCTTTTACCTTGAACGTTTTCTCTCTCTAAATTATAATGGATCTTGCTGCCTCAAATTTTTATTTATCTATCACATAATCCAGGCAAGGTCACTGCCATCTTTTTGGACAATATTGATACCATGTTCATGGAAAGTGCTGATGTGGGAAATATTGTTTAACCTTCATCAGAGAGTATGGCTGTATTACATATCCCAAAACTTTCTGTGAGAATCAAGTCATGTAAACATGTATGCATATTAGCAGTTACTTCAGATCTGTCTAGTTAACAAAGATTGAAATGATTTTCCCACTTGCTATGGTTTTCATTGACCTGCTCAGAGAAAAAGTTAAGAAATTTGGAGATACTACATGGTGAATTGCCATTTTTTAAAATTCTTTTCTCTGGCATTTCAGGCCTCATTATAATTTATATCTGCAGAGCATTGCTGTCAATGGGCAACTGTTGCCTATTGATTCTGCAGTGTTTGCAACATCAAGCAACCAAGGAACAGTTGTTGATTCTGGAACAACTTTGGCATACCTTGCAGAAGAAGCTTTTGATCCTTTTGTTGCTGCCGTAAGTTTTTCATTTTTGTCCCCACTTTTTCAGGATTTACAGAAGTCACAAGGCATGAGGAAATTTGTTCATTGACCTACCAATTGTTTTGGATGGTACCTTGCGCAATGTTTTTTAAGTTATACTTAATTCTGTTGCTGACCTGAGCGTAGGAGATAGTGGATTGAAATTAACTAATGAACTGAAATTTCTGGAACTAGAATACCAGTCTGTCATTGCATAATTACTCTGGCAGTCAGCACACTCCATAGAAACTTAGTTTTTCCTTTAGGCTAAGTTGGGAGGCGATACAATCACTAAACTTGTCCTATTTGGATCTCTTGGAACAATTAATTGAATCTAGTGGAAGTTTCTTGCGTATCTGGGGACAGATGATCTTGTTGCAGATGGTAACATAGCACTCAAATTAATCCCCTTCCTAAATGATAAAGTATGTTGCATTCTCTTCCTGAGGTCTCTTTGCATATGAACTCTGCAGATAACGGCTGCTGTTTCTCAATCGGTCAGTCCATTCATTTCTGAAGGAAACCAGTGCTATCTAGTGACCACCAGGTTCATTTCATTAATCACTGTGTAATTATTTAGGCGACAAACTTTTCATTGCAAGTGATTGTTGGACTTGAATTCTTTCGGCAATTGAGCAAGATTTCCTTCTGTTTCTACACAGCATAGCTGAGGAATTTCCTCCTGTTGCCTTAAATTTTGCTGGTGGTGCATCCATGGCATTAAGACCAGCAGACTACCTTGTAAATATGGGATTTGGTGTGAGTATTAAACTTGTCTCTACATCTTAATCATTTACTTCCCAATTGCTAAGTGAAAAATGTTATTTCCATTCTTGAAATTTGAGGTTGGATCATACAATCAACATCATCTGTTTTAAGTTCTTTTTCTCTGATCTTAAGTAGATATGTGGTTTATAATCATTTTGCAGGATGGTGCCGCAATCTGGTGCATTGGTTTTGTCAAAGTTCAGAATCAGGGCATTACAATTTTAGGAGGTTAGTTGCTGAACTAAGATACTTATATTGAAGGACAATAATCTGCCAGAATTATGTTTAAGAGTATCGATAATATTTTTCAAGTCCCTATGCTTCCATTACTCAAGCGTCTTGGCGCTCTATTCTGGTTTAAGGTGTTATGCTTGTATATGTACTCTTAATACAGAAAGATCAATGTGAATCAAGCTTTAAAATCCCCATAATGAATCTAAGTAAAATGAAAAATCCGAACCATAAATACAATTTCCATCACATTTTAAGCAATTAAAACAAACGAGCTCAAAAATGATCAATTCATCTGTTAGCTTTTTTCCTAAATAACAGAGAGCAAACAATTTTTTAAGCCAAAGGCATAATGTTATCCTAAGCTCACTTTATACACCCACACATTCAGCCATGTAATGGAATATTGAAAGCAGAAGATCATGGTCGGGTGCCTGCCAATGCCCTCATAATGTTGCTGAAATTTAGGCAGGAAATGCTTCAAATGGTGGTAGTTGATTTTATATCTGGCAACACTTTGTTTATTCACGCCCCGTGGGGCTTACTCATATTGATCTTGCCCTCGTGGGGTACGAATATAATTGATGGTGCTGGCAGTTTGGTTATTCAAATGCAAAAGGTTTTGCAAGAGAGTCCAGTCACCTTTTTTTACTTTTTTTATCCTGCGGCATGAACACGCTCCAACTTTCATTTCAATTTTTATTTTTTGCGAGTGTTTTTGAGCATTTGTGTTGGAGAGACTCCAAAACTCATTTTTACTTTCTTGTCTTCAGATCTTGTTCTCAAAGATAAAATCTTCATATATGACTTGGTTCATCAAAGAATAGGATGGGCTGATTATGATTGTAAGTTACACCTATTCCATTTAAAGTTACACCTATTCCATTTAAGTTGTTTCATCATTATTAAGAATATTGTTAAACAAGGTTGAAGTCTCCTCGCTATCGATCACAAACTCTGATTCGACTCTTCAATTTATTGATGTCCATTATTCAGGTTCGCTAACTTTAGGTAAGGATGAATTTGTTGATGCTGGACAGCTGCATGTGAGGAGATCATCAAGCTGTGTGCTCTTCGAGCTAAGACCTAATATCAATATTTCGCTGCTACTGTATATATCGATGGTGGTCAGCTTTCTCTTTTTGTAAATCATTTTTCCAGTGCATCCCCATTCTTTCCACTAGTGTATCCCCATTATTTTGTCGATTATTTACTTCGCTGATTTTTATTTATACCAACTGGCAGGCAATTAGCCTTATTCTCGTTCCATAGACCATATATTTTCTGATGTTAAATGTT